ACAGGCAGTTGGCCAGCCGGCTCGCCCCTGATCAGGGTGTTGGGGGTCGATTGGGGGCCAGGCTGGCTGGGGGCAGGGTACAATCAGGGCCCGGATCAGGTTGGTTGGCTGCCACAGTACACATTATAGCCACTGGTCATTCTGATCATTCCGCCATTCTGGTCACTGGGCTTTTAGATAGATATAGATAGATGATAGATAGATAGATAGATAGATAGATAGATAGATAGATAGATAGATAAATAATAGATAGATAGATAAATAGATTATATGTGTCCTGATTATTTCCTGTAATTATCTCTTGGATTTTCAAGCAATATACAAGCCATATGCCAGTAAAACATAATGGCAAGGTGATTATAAAAATTCAATTCAGCCTGTTATTGGTACCAAGAATCTCAAGAGTAGGGATGAAGTGAAAACAAAGGCACCATGTCTGCCTAGAGGGGACACTTTATTTATATCATTACACTCTTTACAATGTTAGCATCATGTGAGTGGGCAATGTACCATCTCAAACCTAGCTTTTAGGAATAATGTTTTGTTCATTGGTGTCTTCTTTTAAAATATAACCACATATGAGCGAAAAAACCCTTTTAGAAAGTCTTACGTACCTCGGTGCACTCCACATTTTAATTCACAAATGCTGCCTATTACAGCCACTGTCCATTGCTGTAATAACCTATTTCCCTTAATTAGCAGTGAGGGACAGAGGAGTGAGCAGTAGACAAAAATCTCCACCATCTTAGAGGTGTTTGTCTTCAGTAGTTCTCCAAAGGTCTTATCTTCTTCTTGTGGTTTCTAAGTATCTTTAAAAAAATTTATTTTGTTTTATTTTATTTTATTTTTCCCATCACCATTTATCCCCTTATGACCTCTTCCACCTCAACCCAAATTATATAGCACCCAAAATTATAAAGCTCCAGCCAGCTTACCCTTGAAAGCCTTCTCTGGAGTAGGGTTTTAAAGCATTAGATAAACTTTACAGAGGCAAACAGTTCCTCTTCCCAATACAGCATGCATATACTATATAAGAACCAAGTTTTATATATGTCACATAGTAAAAATGGGACCTGTGCCCTAATCACAAAAGGATGTTCTAATGTGTTTTAAGAAAGAAGGAAATGCTGATTATTTTGGATATCTAACGGGTTAGTCATGCTCACTAAAAGCAGAGCTTGTCCCTTTGTTGGCCCCCTGTCCTGTATGAGTGCCACCTTATCTGCAACAACATTTACTACATGCAGGTTATATGCCAGGAATTACTCTTGATACCACTCAGATTAAAAAGATGACCGAGAATCAGATGCTGCCCTTCAGAGTGTAAGAGTGGGCCTTGTACTGAGTGGGCACTCAATGAATGTTTCATAAATGAACAAATCAATTAATTATAGGAGTCTGCAAGTTCCTTTTTAAGTTATGTTTATTTGGAAGTCTGACTGTCATAACCAAATTAACAAAATAACATGTGATTCTGAGAAAAATAAAGACATGTTATTCCTAGATGCTATTGACCAGGTCATTGCATCTCCGTTGGGAAAAATAAAATGCTTTCAAATCATTTGCTTTCACAATAATATTTTTGTACATTTAAAGATCCCCAAGTAGCAAACTGTAGTAAAAATTTGTTTTGTTGGTCTTTCACAGACAAAAAAAATGTGTGTGTGAACACACATATGTGTGTATGTGTGTGGGGTAGCTTGGACAAAAGGAGCTGGAAAATGAACAAATTAAAGATAGGCAAAGGCTTACCCAGTACCTTAGAGAGGGATTACAGTCCACCTCCAGATTTGACTTATTTTTATTTATTCCTTGGCAGATGAGATGAAATTGTGATTAATAATAATGTCATCTATCTTATCAAACTAGGAACAACCAACAAGGAATCCTTACAAACATCTCTGCTGCCAACACTTTCTTCATTAATCACGACAGTTAAAGGTGAAGGTGAGTAATAATATTTTTATTTTCTCTATATAATTTGCATACCATCATATCATAAACCATACTACATACCCTTTTAAAGTACACAGTTCAATGGTTTTTTAGTATATTTATGAGATTGTTTTACCATCACCACTACCTGATTACAGAATATTTTCATCACCGCAAGAAAAAACCCTGTATCTGTTACTAATCACTTTCTATTCCGACTTTCCCCCAGCCCCTGGCAACCACAAACCCACATTGTGTCTCTGGAGATTTGCCTATTCTAGAAATTCCATATAAGTATAATCATGTGACCTATGACCTTTTGTATCTGAATTCTTTCACTTAGGATAATGCTCTGAGTTTTATCTATGCTGTAGTATGTTTCTATAGCTCATTCTTTTCCATGACTGAATAATATTTCATTAGATGGATCACTATATTTGTTGACCTATTTATTAGTTGATGGAAATTTGAACTGTTTCTACATTTTGGCTATTATAAATAATGCTGCTAAGAACATACATGTACAAGTTTTTGTGTGAGCATATGTTTTCATTTCTCTTGGGTGTATACCTTGAAGGACTATGTCACATGGTAATTCTATGTTTAACTCTTTGAAGAACTGATTTCCAAAACACCTGCACTATATTACATTCCCACCAGAAATGTATGAGGATATGAATTTTCCATTTTCTAACCAATACTCTATATTTTCATCATAGTCATTCCAGAGGGTGTTCAGTGATATCTCATTGTTGTTTTGATTTATGTTTTCCTAATGACTAATGACATTGAGCATCTTTTCATGTACCTGTTGGCCATTGTGTATCTTCTTAGGAGAAATGTCTATTTAAGTCCTTGCCCATTTTTTAATTGAGCTATGTGACTTTTTACTGTTTAGTTGTAAGAATGTTTTATATATTTTGAACTAGATCATTAGTGAGTAGATAATTTGCAAATACTTTCTCCCATTCCGCGGGTTGTCTTTGCGTTTTCTTGAGCTGTCCTTTGAAGGACTAAAATCTCTAATTTTGATGAAGTTAAATGTGGCTATATTTTCTTTTGTCATGTAGAGGAAGCAAAACTTTACTCATCATAGGTTTTTAGCTGGGACCTTTAACAGCAAGACATACAAACAAAAGAAAAATAGTTTATTAACACATGCAGTGTACATCATGTTAGAAACCTAAAACAAAGAGTATCTCAAAGCAGTGACTTAGAATTCAGCTTATATACCATCTTCAACAACAACAACAACAACAAAACAATGCATTTGTTAAAAAAAGAAATGACAGGACAGTGACAGGACAAAGGAAGACTTAAGCCTTCCAAGGGTAGCAAACTGAGGGAAGATTAATAGATAAATATATGAAAGGAAACTAATGGGCAAGTTTTGTTTGCAAATTCCTCTGGCCTGATAAAAGTCTGTCTCCAGTAAAAAGGAATTTATATCCTGCCTTTAGGCAAAAAAGGGGAAGCTTTTTTTTTTTTTTTGCATTTGCTGCTTCTTAATTGCCTTCAGCTTTAAATTTTTATGTCAAAGAGACATATTTTGGGGTGACGCTCTAGTTTTTTTAGTCACTGTGCAGTAGGACCAAATGTAAGAAACCATTGCTCAACTCAAGTCACAAGATTTACACCAATGTATTCTTCTAAGGATATTATAGTTTTAGCTCTTACATTTAAGGCTGATTTTGTTTATGGTATAGGGTAGACATCTGGCTTCCTTCTTTTGTATGTGATTATTCAGTTGTCCTAACATCATCTATTGAAAAGACAATTCTTTCTTGATTTCAATCGTCTTGGCACTCTTTTTTTTTTGTTTTTTTGTTTTTGTTTTTTTGTGTGTTTTTTTTTATTGCTTAAATTATTACAAAGAGTATTACATGTTTCTCCTTTCCCCCACCCCCCTTGAAAATCCCCTGGCCTCCCCTACCCCCCAGTGTCTGTGTCCATTAGTTATGCTTATATGCATGCATAC